AAATGGAAACTTCAGTCAATTGGAATCCTGCTTTAGACAAAGGTCAGTGCCAAAAATTAAAAGAGTTGCTTGCCAAATATTGCTCTTGTTTTTCTAGTGGACTCCATGACTTAGGTTACACACCTGTCACTGAAATGACCATTGAACTGAAAGACGACGACCCAGTAGTTTATCGCCCTATCGCATGTCGTTTTCTGAAAGGTCACTGGTAAGAGACATGATTCAGGAGATGTTGGACAGTAATATAATACGAGAATCATCATCGCCCTATGCGAGTCCAATCGTCATGGTTCAGAAAAAAACAGGCGATAAGCGATTGTGCGTCGACTACAGAGCACTGAATAGGAAAACCAAAAAGGACCACTATCCATTACCCAGGGTCGAAGACCAACTGGATCTCCTAGCAGGTAATGCTTTGTTTACATCTTAGATCTCGCCTCCGGGTATTATCAGATCCCTGTATCCGAAGAATCCCGTCCTAAAACTGCTTTTGTGACTCCTGATGGGCAGTACGAATATAATCGCATGCCTTTTGGTCTAGTCAATGCACCATCGGTCTTTCAGCGTACCATCAACAAGATATTAATGGAAGCCAAAATAAAATACGCTATTATATACATGGATGATATCCTCATTCCATCGAAAGACTTCGACGAGGGTTTGCAGCGGCTCGAAGAAGTACTACAGCTACTGCAAAAAGGTGGGTTAACTCTAAAACTTAGTAAATGCCACTTCTTTCTTGACTCCATAGATTTTCTCGGTTTTGACGTCAACGCTAATGGTATTAGGCCGGGTAGCAGAAAAACTGAAGCTGTCTCAAATTTCCCGACACCTAGAAACCAGCACGACGTTCGACAGTTCCTTGGCCTTTCTGGGTTTTTTAGGAGATTCATCAAAGGATATGCTGTGATTACAGCGCCTTTGACTGAATTACTTAAGAAGAATTCAAAATGGATCTGGAATAATGAACAAGAGAAGGCATTTAATAAGGTAAAGGAGTTACTAGTAAGTCGTCCAATATTAGCTTTATATGAACCAGGAGCAGACAGAACTTCACACAGACGCCTGTAAGGACGGTTTGGCAGGTATATTACTTCAACGCAATTCTAACGGTGTATTGCAACCGATATCATACTTTAGCCGTAAAAAAATGTTGATGAACGAAAAATGCATTCCTATGAACTTGAAACTCTGGCAGTAATAGCCTCATTGAATCGCTTTAGAGTCTATTTGATTGGCATACCTTTTAAAATCCTAACCGATTGCAATGCACTGAGATCAACATTAGTAAAACGAGACATCATACCTCGAATTGCGCGTTGGTGGGTTCTATTACAAGAATACAACTGCACCATAGAATACCGTCCCGGTGTCCGAATGGCTCACGCAGACGCACTCAGCCGGAATCCAGTGGATAGTTCGGTAAGTGAACCACATATTTTGGACATCTTACCGATACAGCAATTTGATCAAAACTGGATCTCAACTGTACAATCCGCTGACGATGAAATTAAGAGAATTAGAGAAATCCTTCTGGACCCTTCTATCGAAGAAACTATAGAGGTACGTCAAAATTATAAACTAAAGAACGATCGTATTTTCCGCATTGTGGGTGATGAACTGAAATGGTTGGTACCACGGAGCGTGCGGTGGCAGATCCTGAAGATGAATCATGACGATGTGGGTCATTGCGGATTCGAGAAGACATTACATCGCATTAAAGAGCATTATTGGTTCAAAAAAATGCGCAGGTTTGTAAAGAAATATGTCTCTTCCTGCTTAGAGTGTGCTCATCACAAAGCTCCAGGTGGCAGAAGGGAAGGTGAATTGCATCCTATTGAGAAGGTTAGTACGCCTTTCCATACTATCCATGCAGATCACTTAGGGCATTTGTAAAGAGCAAAACCGGCAACTGTTACTTACTGGTAATTGTAGACGGTATTTACGAAATATGTAAGCATTAATCCCGTAAGAAATACAAAATCTACGACTTCAATAAGGGTTCTGAAGCAATTTGTAAGCTACTTTGGAGTCCCAGCTCGTCTTATCACTGATAAGGGCACGAGCTTTACAAGTAAACACTTTCAAGATTTTGTAAAAGCCTATGGTATGAAACACGTCCAAAATGCAGTCGCTACTCCGAGAGCTAATGGGCAGGTAGAGAGGTACAATAGGACAATTTTAGATGCTCTATCAACCTCTAGCCATGGAGGAGATGACAAGTCATGGGATGATCACATTACCGATATACAGGTAGGGATTAATACTACTAAACATAAAACAACTCAAAAGAGCCCATCAGAATTGTTGTTCGGTTTTAATGTCACCAGCAGAAGTGAAGGTAAGTTAAATGAAATTATTAAAGAAACCCTCAACAGGATCCCTGTGGCAGAATTGGACGAATTAAGACAAAACGTAAGTGAAAAAATTAGGCAACAACAAGTTAAAGACGCTACTTACTATAATAAACACAGGAAAGCCGTAACCCAGTATAAAGAGGGAGATTTAGTACGGGTGGAGAGACAGGTGCAGCATGATGGTAAGTCACAAAAACTTACCGTAAAATATCAAGGTCCTTATCGAGTAGTAAAAATACTTCCTAATGATAGGTTTCTGGTCGAGGACACACCTCTAACTCGTAAACACGGACGCAAATATGAAGGTATTGTAGCAGTGGATAAAATTCAACCTTGGATGAATTTTAACAGGGATTTAGAGTCCGATTCATCAGAGAATGATTCTTGTACTAGTGAATACGAACAGACGTGTGTCCTGGACAAGGAGTAGTATAAGTAGTAGGAGTAGTCAAAATTATTGATCCTTTAATTTAATTATGAAACCTTTAATTATGAAATGTTTTGATTTTTGTTTTTTCTTTCTCAGATTTGTTACGAATAAGTAATTTTTAAATATTATATTGTGTTTATTATATTGTTATTACATAAATAAATAAAATTAAATAATTATATTAAAACTATTAAAAAAAAAGCGATGGGACTCGCTTTAAACAGGATGGCCGAGCTGTTAGGTTAAGTAGTATTTTGTGTATAAGATTGGTTAAATTCCATGTCATGTACTTATTAAAACAGTTTAATATTCTAAAATACTTTTAAGACTAAATAATTGATCTGTATATACTTATCGCATAATATGAATTTATTTGTAATTTAGTTCATCTTAAAAAGTATTTAGGTTGACCTATGTATTATTATTGGTTGTTCATTTGACTAATGCTACCCCCACTGTATGTTAGAAAGTTACCTATACCTAGCGACCATGGCAGGGATTCATTGGATATAGCATTCGGTGGAGTAAGAAGTAGAATTGTTACTGTAATACTGTATTGTGTGGGAATAATAAAGTGAAGTGTGCGATACGTTACCTGTTTTATTTCCTGACTAATATGATAATAAAAAAATTAATTGTCAATAATCCAAAGAGTATAATAAGTATAGGGGGGTTCAATAATCATCCAATTCATCATTGGCATGACACTCACTTGTGCTCACTCGTCAAAAATATATCAGACTAGCTTTTACTTGCGGCTTCGCTCACGTCACAAAAGGATAAAAAGTAGCCTATGTGACTATCCATCCGTTCAACTACCTTCAGTTAAAAAATCACATTAATTATTACCTCCGTTCTGCTGTTTAAAACAAACAAACAAATAGCTTTCCGCTCGCGTGGAATTCGGTTATATCGCGCTATTTAGATTTTTCCAATAAGTAGGTAATTCGTTGACTGGTTTTAAATGACATACAACGCCATCTATACCAGTACATAAAGCGCCATCTATACCAATATTTTTGTTTTTTCTAGGAAATATCATTTGTTCCGGGATAAAAAGTACCCTATTATTTAATCCAGACTTCTAACTTTACGTCTGCAAAATTTCAAAGCAATCGGTCTAGTAGTTACGGCGTGAAGGCGGAACAAACAAACAAACAAACTCACTTTCCGATTTATAATATAAGTAAGGAATAAGTAAGGAATATAAGTAAGGAATATAAGTAAGGATAAGGAAAGTAAGGAAGTAAGGATTATTATTTGATATTTCTCTACCCACTTCGTTTCATAAAAGTTAATATGTAATATCACATACTATCGTCTACCCACTTTATTTATGCAAAAACAATAAAATGTACATTAATAAACACATTTATTCCAGAATGTTGTTGTACACACATTGGTAACTATGAAAATTCTTGTATGTAAATGCATTACATACAAGAATTTTCATAGTTATGTAAACTTAAATCACATTGTTGTATTGCATAATGTCTGAAAGTATTGCATTAACTCGTCGAGTACCGGTTTTATAGACACAATTAACTCGTCGAGTACCGGTTTTATAGACACAATTAAAGAACAATAGGTCGCGGTCACCGGTGACCTCTTGGTGTTTGACAGTTTAAAGAACAATAAGTCGCGGTCACCGGTGACGGCTTGGTGTTTGACAGTTTAAATTATAATAAACTGAAATTTATAACAAATACATTTCGAATAAAGGATTTAAAATAAACACTCAATGTTGTAAGGCATTTACAATAAGTTTCCAATTGATATTTAAAAATATTTTACTACATTAAAATGCATCAAACAAAATTTGTCCATAACTGACTTCATCATTAACATAAAAAATAAAATAAATTAAGAAAATTACAAAAATATTTCATTAAACATCATCATCGTCATCATCATTAGGTATCTGTGACTCTTCAATAGTCCTAGAAGCAGGAACATACACATTAAATGTAAACTCAGTACGAGGGAAAGAACCGGGATTTATAACTTGACACTCCTTGTAATTCCTCACAAACGGTTGGAAATTATCAGCCACTACTACTAGATCTGGTAACGGATAAAGGTTTAACGCACTAGCATGTCTCCAGAACACAGGCTGCACTCCCAAGGACATGGGTGTCAAACAACACTGACTTAGCAAAGTTTTTGTCAAATGATCCGGTATATCACCATTATCAGGAAAGTGTAAAACATTCCTACATAATTTCATCACCAAATCCTCTGAATACAACAATCTCTTGTGTACAATATTGTATTCGACATGGGTTTGTTGTAAATATTGCACTGTCACCAAGCTTCCTCTGTATTGTATCTGTTATGTATTCTGGTAGCGGCGGTCTAGGTAAAACATTTGCTGCAGCAGGATCTGACTTCCCCGGTACAAATACAAACTTGCAGTAATCGCGTAAATTCCTAAATTGACATATTGTATCCGCTAATGTATTCAATCCATTCTTAAGGTGCATATGGAACTTATAAGTGTATGGACATGATAGAAATTCACCAATGAGAACAATAGCTATAGGAGGAAAGTCATCGAACCCAGCAAATAGTTTCTTCAGTCTGTCCATTACTTTGGGACTGTCCAACCAAACATCAGACACAAATACAATAACACCATCTCTATTGTCATTCTCAATTTTCAAGAGAGATTTAGAGTTCTTCAGAGAAGTCCTTGATTTTCCTCCAAATGTATTTAGGTTACCAAAATATGGGGAAGACTCTTCTCTACTCTCCACTGGGGGCTGCACTAGACCAGTCACATGTAGTGTCTTGTCTTCGAAGTAGCCCTCAGCTAACACATAACTGCCTTCTGTGAACAAGCCAGAGTGGTACCTCACATTGGATATATCAAGTAACACTGAGCCTGTAGGGTCTTCCAAATGGTACTGTCTCTCAATAACCTGTGTCAGCAGCCCCAACACAACTACATCATTGACTCTGCTGGAGCAACTTAGTAAAAACTCAACTCGACGCAACTGAAAACGTTTATCACTCTCAGAAGAATGCACTTTGTCTAATGTGAACAGTTTATTCCTGAGTGTTCTCTGCCATATCACTGTGTACCTGTCTATCATGAAGCGAGACTTCCATCGGGGATCTGGTAGTAAACATTTCTCGTTAGTGATGTCTTTCACGAATTTCTTCAGTTCATAGTCGTAACATAGCTTCGGCACCGTGAATGCATCTATTATATTAAGGACAGTTTCGTGTTCTTCCAGTCCAGCTGTAGAACACTCTTTGAAGGCTATTTCTATCTGTTCCTTCTCTAATATAGGCTGGGTTACACACTGATGAAGTAAATGGGCTGACAGCTTCTCGAGGATTGTGTCACGTTCTGAGGGTGGCAACAGTAGGAGCTCTTCAGCCAGAAATGTTCCTGCATCCCGACGTAAGGTAAAACCATTCAGTTTAAACGTTGAAGTGATTTCTGTACGCAATTGTTGTACCTCGCCCATATCAGATTGTTTGCTATTATCAAAATTCTAGTAAATAAACTTAAATAAAGTAGAACTTTCCAAGGTTTCGTCAATAAAATAAATATAAATAAGTAAATCGCGCCAAATTTTATGTCAACAAACATTGACTTGACCACAGAGCATATATAATTTTAAAGACTTGCTTGACAATAATCAAAAATGACATTTTAGCAATGCAAAACATCACGGTTTTATTTACAAGGAATGTTAATTATTGTATGTTCTATTTATGTTTTGTTTTCATTTTAAGAGAACAAATTGATACACTTCTGTTATTGATATTAAATAGTTTTCGTTCCTGTTTTCGTATATTTAGATAAACATAATGATAATATGTTAATTTTTAAGATGAAAACGAATGATGTTTGAAATTAAGCGTACTTTGTAAACGCTTAACTACAACACGTTTTATTATTGCATAAACTGCGTTTGGCTTGCTTTAATGATTGACAAAATGTATGTAAAACAGCGATAACTTTTCATTCCGTAGCTCAATTTAAATAGACATAACATTACGTCTTTTGTCCCCGAAGGGGTAGGCAGATGTGCACATTACGGCCCTTAATGACAGTGTACGATGTAAGTAAGACCCACTTATCGTTATTTATTCTATGAGTCCCATGTAATAGAGGGTGAGAAGTTATAATTACTTAAAAAATATATAAATTTAAAAAAGTAGTAGGTGTTTTTTTTAAGGGGGGAAAATCATCGAATGACTGCTCCCGCCTGGGTGAGGCGGAAGGGAGTGTCAGACTCTTACTGACTAAAAACCACCCCGTTCCTTCTCCTGCACGTCGAGCCGGAGCCCCGGTTACCCGTTAGGTTCTCCGCGACTCCGAATCGGCATCGGCCCTATTGGGCCCCATCTGTGGTGGTCTGATGGCTCTTTGAGGCGCGCGCGGTACGCGACGCGCCGTACGCTCGGGTAAGTAGTAGGTGTAAGTTATTATCTTTGCAAACTAAAGGCGGCTCAACAAATTGGACAGCATTGGGACAACGTATGGGCCAACGCATTAGGTCAATTTATTGAATTGTAAATATCCATGTTTACACATTGGGATGACGTATTGGGTCAATATATAGTAAATTGAAAATGTATTTTCTGTATATTTCAATAAAATATTATAAATTATCAGTGTTTGTCCACGTAATTTCGAACATCTTTACTGATGAATGACAATAAACTGAACTGGCTGAACGCCGTTTGTGGAGCGCGCCAAGATCCTTTAATTAGCGCACGAAAAACCGACAACATTCAGTTGGTCGACCAATGTTATGCTAACTAGGCCCCTACGTGCTGGCTCTATGCGGTGGCCCAATGTCTAGAGACAATATTATAATGTCTACATGTTTTCTCCACAAGAGAAAACAAAACGTGAGACCATAGACGAAAACTCATATTTATAATTATGTATGTGTGTTTGTTTATCTATGTATACATACATCATATCAGATATGTTAGTGTGTAAATGTCAAAACAAATGTTCGTGGAATGTCTGTGTCGGTCGGCTTTGGTGATTCACCGCAATTTAACAAAACTGAACCACTCGAGGCGTATCAGTAGTGTTTATAAGGTCCCTGCAAGCTTGAACTTGTCTGTACATGTTGTTATAAATCGATCCTGCCAGGCCTGTGTGAGTACAATTTTCAATCAGCGTACAGTACAACTGCGTGCGAAACCAAGTAGTAGTGTACGCTGATAGTACTGATTTCGCTAGTTTATATTTATATTTAAAATTAATACTCTGGTCCAAATAGTAACTCTATCGATACTTTACAACATTATAAACCTTCATTATTAAATAATTACACTTTTTACATTGAAAACTAATAAACTTTTTATTTTTCCAATTACCTACATTATTGGAAATTAAAAATAAAACAAAATGTTGGTAAGTACTGAGGTCAATGGTCAATGAATATAACAATTGCATAATGTAAATATTTATTTCACATGTGCATATTGACTTAATTGTGCAACTTTACATGATAGGTAAATGATGAATCCCCAAAAAAACTTCAAACTTAAAGTCCATTAGTTAAAAGTTTTGGTATATTATTATTTCAGGCAAAACGTCAAAAGATGGACATTACAAGGAGCTTCCAGAGCTATGCCTGGTAAGTGACATAAATAAACAAATACTTTGCTACTATATTTTTGGTTTTGTTAAATAAAATATAGAAGCAAGATAAATAATAATGTCATGAACAAAACTCAAGTTAAATGAACAAGTTGTTATGATAAAATTGATAACATTGATAATAACTATAGTTTACTTTCAGTTTATATCAATTAAATGATAATATTTGATAGTAAAGATAGATAGAGTTTGAACCATTATTGATGTGACAACGTCTTATAAATTGGTTTGCCGGGTGACACTTCAAGAAACTGCGTTACGCTCCGCTCACAATGAGAGCGAGTGAGAGGCACGCGTCCCTTCCACTTGGACATGGTTAGCCCGCCTAAGAGCGAGAGAGACAGACATAAAAAGTGAAAGGCACGCGTCCCTTCCACTCAAGCACAGTTAGCCCGCCTAAGAGCGAGAGAGAGACGCTCAAAGTCGTTGTCACGTAAAACTTTCGGCCTGTATACCGACTTTACAGGCAACCAATTTCTTTTTACTATCAAATCAAATAAATGGTTACTGAAACAAAAATCATTTTCATTTGTGGGGATTGCTATAAAATATTTCATGTTATTGATTGAATGTTGACAAAGCTAAAAGGTAATATTAGAATCACATCAGTTCATGTCACTACTGTTGCTGCCCATTCCAATAAGGGACATGTAACAATGATGCTAACCAAGACATTACAAACTGTCCACGGTCTCCAGTAGGTATAATCTTGATTGATTTAAAAGTTAAGTAAAAACATGATAAGTATTAGCATACTGCGTCCCTTTGTGACTTAAACTAGCTAGTCATTTACACAAGTAAACCATTATTTTCAATTAATTACATACTATACCTACCCCTTTCGCAAATAAACCATACAGGTAATATAATGTGAGGTTACCATACAGGTAAGCCTGTATTACATAAGAGAATAACTCCCTCACACCTCTGTGTCTCTACATTTACTGATTACTCAAACCAGTGGTTCCCATGGTTATTTCGAATACAAACTCTCTAAATCAAATTCCTAAACTCAGGACCCATCTTCGGATAATTAAACTGTAACCGTTATGAAAAACAAAATATGGACTGAGTTATAGTTAGGACTCTAACCAGCATTCCATATTTTCTGCATCTGAACTGCAATTTGCGGTTGGATTGCAGTTGAAATGCGGTCCGTCTGTCTAGAGCCTTAAATAATAGGTGACATATTTAAACTGTCAAACACCGCACGGTCACCGGCGACCGCAACCTATTGTTCTTTAATTGTGTCTATAATGACGGGACTCAAAGGGTTAATGTAGGTTTACATTGAAGATAACTGTTATACCCCAGAATGCCCATAGAAAGGCCTCCTATTGTCTTTAAAGTCATATTGCCTAAGAATTTTCCCATAGCACATTATTTTTGTTACATAGTTGTGTTAACAGTTATTCTCGAAACAGTTATTGCAACTTATGAACCCAAACAACAAAAATTATTTATTACAATACAATTTTTCCTTATAACATCAATGGAACGAAATTATAATAGACTAGATATTGCCCGTGACTTTGTCCGCATAGAATATGAGTTTTAGGACATACTGATTATTTTTGTTTCAATTATCTAAAATAGAAATAGCCTATGTTACTCCTTAGTACATCAGCTACCTGACAATAATTCAGTCAAAATCGGTCCAGCCATTTCAGAGAATAGCCAGTACAAACAGACAGTCAGAAAAAAATTAAAATATGTTTTTTTGTTATGTGTATTGAATGTCTATTTCAATATTACAAACAGACACACCAATTAGTGTGTGTGTGTGTTGTGTTTTAGTACCTATATTAAATTTCAGACACAATATAAATTGTTAAATGAATAAATAAATAAATGAAATGAAATGTAAGTTATGTACCCGGAAGCCCAATTAAACCCCCCCCCCCCTCTTCCCCAACAATCCTCAACTTCTTATATGGGGCGACGCCGATTGCTTACCATAACATAATCCATCTGCTCGTTTCCCAGCTTATCTCATAAAAAGAACTTGAAATGTGTAATTTCCTGTAAGAAAAAGTAGTGTTCCTATTTCTATAGGAGAAAGTATTGATGTACTTGAACTATCGGCATATTTCATCATTTGGAATATCACGTACGGTTCTCCTTAGTGAGATTACTATCGGTTATATTTGATTTATCGATAGACCATTGCAAGCAGTTAGTCAATCAGTGTGAGTCAGTGCTATATCTACCTTGATGCCACCTAGTTAACTATGGTGTAACATCATTGTAACATTCAGATAGACACAATCGTTGTATGAATATAGTGAAACGGTTACAACAATGTAATCTATATATAAAAGAAAGTCGTGTTAGTTACACTATTTATAACTCAAGAACCGCTAAATCGATTTAGATGAAAATTGGGGGCATTCCACTTTGCGCACCTAAATGAAGCGCACCCAGACGAAGCGCACCTAAAGTATGCCACTTTGCGCACCTTTAGGTGCGCTTAAAATAATAATTTTAAATAAATAGTTTTTCTATTCCACGAAGCGCACCTACGAATAGCACTCGCATAGTGCGGAGACTAAGAAATAAAAATATCGATATAAGAAAATATTTATTATTTAAAAGACTAACTCTATTCTACTATAACTGACAGATGTTAGATATATTAATATCTAACAACATTTCATTATAATAATGTGACACAATATTTGTCATTTTGATTTTGTTATCTTAGTATTTAAAATCACAGATTGTTTCATAATTACAATAAAAACATGGACAAATATCAATATTGTGTCACATTATTATAATGAAACTGACAGATGTTAGATATTTAAGTTAGTCTTTTAAATAATAAATATGTTCTTA